TGTCACAAGAGCTACTAAGTGCCCCCAATAAAATGATTTATTAAAATAAAATTTTAAAAGAATTGAAAAAAGTTGAAAATGGTTTCTTCTGCTGCTTTAGAATACAGTGAAGGGCCAAGGCAAGGCAGTAACATAGAGATAGTGACAAGGGGACCGCATTCCAGGGACGCTCCTGGCTAAGGAAGGGTCACGTCAGGGCCGGTGCCTCCACTGCACTCAGTGCGCACTATGCTCACAGTCCCCAGGAGCAAGCACTCTGCCCCAGCTCTTTTCACCTCTAAAATCAGAGCGCCTAGCCCCTAGAAGACACGAAGTAAATGCTGGCTGAATGAACACGTTATTTACGTTCCAGCATCAATCCATGCTACATTGCACTACACCTCCTAAGGACACCCCCACAGGTCCTCAAGCTCTCCTCACCTTATAATAATGTTCCAAGAGAATCCTGGCCACGCCCTCCACACTTTCTGCTTCGACGGGCTTTCTGGCAAATTGGAGTAGGTACTGCAAAGCATCTGCTGGGGAAGTCGCTTTACACAGATCGATGTGGAGGGCTGCAGATTTACTTGGCTTTGTTAGTCGGAGTTTCTTCGTTGTAAGTTCTTCTTGTTGCTGTGAAGGGGTGGGGAAGGTAAGGCATGAAGACTTAACTGAAAACAGTTGGCAATTATAATCATGCCATTGATGAAAATTACTTTCCTTATTACCAAATCATATATTTCACTAATAGACCCAGCCTTAGGAAAAAGACAAATAAGAGTACTGGATTGGAGATAAAGTTTAGTCCCAATTTTGCTTTTCACTAGCTCTTGCAACTCGGAGTAAGTCATTTAATTCCTCCAAGTGTCCGTTTCTGTCTATATAAAATAGATGCAACAACATTCTTGTTGTGCCTATTTTAGCGGACTGTTGTAACTTTGGGGTTAAGAGGCTACTTAAAGGCCCTCTTCACTGGAAAGACCAATCCTGAGTACAGTCTTGAAGGGTTTACTGATGCATTTGCCAGGACCGACTTTTCCTGCAAAATTAGAAGTGATGGGAGCTCCCTGCAACGTACACTGGAGGGAAAACATCTTCCCCTCACTCCGTATAATTCATTATCTTCCTCCCCCAGACCATTCTGCCTGCATGAGGATGATCACTGCAGCTAAATTATACCACCCGCCGTGCCTGGCAAATAGCCAATGAACACATATTTACTGAGAGCACAACTGATTTGGAGTTTAGAATTATCTTTGAGTTCTAACGCTGATGTCCTGTGTTCAATGAGTCACAAGTCTCGGTCATAGTTTCTGAAAAATAAAAATAAGATCTAGCAACAGTCTTTCTCACATGGGCTCCTCATCTTAACCATAAAACTCAACCCCAAACCACTAACATCAAGTTGATTCCAACTCATAGTGAAGCCACAGAACATAGGTTCCTAAATTTATTTGGCCTACTAGCTTTTCGGGAAAAAAAAAATTAGTCAATGCTCCCTAGCAATTAAAAACGTTTGTACTATAGCCCATAATTCAAACTAAAGTGTAGGTATCACTTGTCCAGCATCCCTCCCGGGGGTGGTGTAATCCATTTTGGGAAAAAAATGCCATAGAAGATAGAAAATTGAGTGACTGTTTTCTCCAATTTCCAAATAGAAGTGTTCTAGATGCACTTGTTACAGACAATGAGTGCCACTCCAGGGCTTACATCAAGCCCTGATAGGTAGATACAGTAAATCCTGCAAAAGCCAGAACCTATATAAGGCATAAACCTGTCAAGAAGGAAAACAAATTATTTTCCACTAAAAGTAAAACTGCACTGTCAAAGATAGAAAACTTTCGAGACTGGAAAAACAAGGCAGTCCAGATGAATTCTGAAATCTGGCTCCATCGGTTTCACTGTACATAATCCTCAAACTCATGGCCATCAAATCAATTGACTCTGAGTGACCCTACTGAACAGAAAAGAACTGTCCTTTTGGGTTTCTGAGAGCACCTTTCTCCCATAGAGCAGCTGGTGGATTCAAACTGTTGAACTTGTGATTAGCAGGCCAGCAGGGCTCCTCACTGTACATAATATGATCCTAAAACCTGATGGGGCAGTTCTCTCCTAGACAGTAACTATGCGGCAGAAATGACTCAGTGGTAATGGGTTTTGAAGATGAGAGAGAGGACTCTGGGGGCACAGAATTAAAGTACTTGGCAATTATATTCTTTCACTGTGAGTTGGAACTGATTTGATGGCAGTGGGCTTGGGTTAAGATAAGAAGAAAGGTTCGCCAAATGGTAAAATGCTGGGTTAACAATAGCCAAGAATCTGCTTCTGAAAGTTCAGAGCCTTGAAAATCCTATGGGGTATGGTTCTGCTCTGCTACATACCGGGTCACCATGAGTCAGAATAGTCGTGATGACAACTACTGTGCTGTTGCTATTTATGTGCTATCAAGGTGATTCCGAGTGAAAGCTGCTCTAGATGATACAGTGGAACCACCCCAGGTTGTCATCTTTCTGGGAGCAGATCACCAGAGTGGCTGGCAGGTACCAACCTGACCTTTCAGCAGCCAAAAGCATAACTACTGCACCCTCCTTTTGGTATGATAAATGTGGTAATCAACAAGTGTCCTTAACATCTAATAAATCAATCTAGTGTCCTGAGCAATCACCTCCCTAAAAATTCATGATGCTATAAAGAAGCTAGGATTATTCTAGATGGCACCATAAGCGCTTAGAAATCAAAGGTATCTGGACTCGATAGCCATTTACAATAGGGTAAGCCGCCTTCTTCTATAAAAGGGAATACCAAGACCTATATAACAGGGATATTGAGAGGTCTAAATTGTAAAGTATTGTATATGAGGCACACTAGTGGCACAGTGGTCAAGTGTTGGGCTGCGAACCAAAGGGTTCACAGTTCAAACCCACCAGCAACTGCTCAGGAAAATGTGTCACTTTGTTTCTGTAAATATTTAAAGCCTTGGAAAGTGTATGGGACAGTTCTACTCAGTCATATTGGGTCACTATGGGTCAGGATCAACTAGATGACATTGGGTTTGGCTTTGGTTATATTGTACATACGCATAATAAACACAAGATACATGTCATTTCTTTCTCTTCACAACAGAAACCCTAAGATCTCGTTACATCACTCTAAGATAACTATTCACGTATATGGAAAAAACAAAACTACTTCCTTTAAAACTCTTATCCATTCCCATCTTATTCAACACAAAGTCAGGACAAATTTTGGGGAAGATGTCTTTCCCTAAGAAATGTAAGGAAAAAAATGTAAGGAAATGGAAAAATTGCTATCAACTATCACTCAGCCATCAGAAGCACTGTAGTAAGCCAGGCTCTGGGGTCCATCCAGAATACAGAGGTGAACCCAAATGTTCTCTCTACCCCAAAGGAGTCCAGAATGGTGGAGTATAAATAACTTATATGGTAGTTACACTACTAAAAGAGTCCTGGTGGTGTAATGTTTACTCATCGGGCTGCTAACTAACCACAAGGTCAACAGTTCAAAACTACCAGTCACTCCATAGGAAAAATAAGAGACGTTCTACTCCCATAAAGAGTTCCAGTCTCAGAAACTCACCGGGGCAGTTCTACCCTGTCCTATACGGTAGCTATGAGTCGGCAGTGACTCATGGCACTGAGTTTAGTTTGTTCTTACAGTTCTAATGGAGCCTTGGTGTGTAACGGTTACATGTTGAGTTGCTAACTGCAAGGCCAGCCATTCGAAACCACCAACCACTTCTCGGGAGAAAGAAAGGGCTTTCTACTCCCATGAACAGTTCATATCTTGTAAACTCACAGGAGCAGTTCTACCCTTTCCTAGAAGGTCCCTAAGTCGGTATCGACTCAATGGCGGGGAGGTTGGTTTTTGGTTACAAGTACTGAGTAGTAAGTACAAATAGATAAATGTCATAGTGTTATATAAGCAGAAGAAAAGGTTTCAGGTGGGTGAAGAAAATAAAGGGAGGAATGACGTATTCATTGCAATAGAGCAAGTTTAAAAGTCTGGAGGTGTGCAAATACATGGCATGCTGTAGAAGGAGGTAAATAGTCTTGGGAAATGGCACAACACTGTTGGAAAGAAAGGAAACGACAAGCGATAAAGCAGGAGGGAGTAAGTATACTGTCTGATCACAAGGGAGTAAGAGGTTTGGTCTTACGAAAAGATGGAGCTACAAAAAAGAAAGGAAAAAACATTTGTCAATGCAATTCTCTCTCTGTATTTATAATCAGATCTGCTCCCTTGTCTCTTCCATTATTCTGTGATTCTAAAAGAGCAGATTGGGATATATACTGGACTTCTATGATGTATGCTAGACTGGTAGCCAAACACTTTTCTCAATTCCTTGTACATAATACTCACTCATCTACTTAATAAATCCTTGTTGAATGGATGAATGAAACATTCAAGTACCTGCTTCCTGGCAGATCACATAGGCCAGTGGTTCCCAACCTTTCTAATGCCTTGACCCTTTAATACAGTTCCTCATGTGTGGTGACCCCCCAACCATAAATTTATTTTTGTTGCTACTTCATAACTGTAATTTTGCTACTGTTATCAATCAGGTGACCCCTGTGAATGGGTCGTTTCACACACACACACACACACACACACACACACACACACAAAGGGGTCGCGACCCACAGGTTGAGAACCTGTGGTGAGGCCTTGCTACTCCACAAATCGAAGATCCTATGGCGGGTCTAAGATTCCACATCATTGGCTTGCTAGAAAGGATGACTCTTGTCTCTCCACCTCAACTAATCAAAGTGACATATTAAAGGGCTCCTCAGATAAGTTGCACAACGTGAAAGTCTGTAAAGCACATTCTAAGCAATGATTTAAGATCACCTAAATGGAGACATGTGGACCATCAATGGATGCTCGGGCAAAAGCTCGAGCCCCGCCCCGCTCCTTCACGCAACTTCAAGAAAGACACGGGCTCCATGAAAGAGGTCTACCTGCTTTGACATATGGGCTCAAGGGATCTCTATAAACCCTTGGACCAGCCTGGTGTTGTTCGTGTGTCGCGTCAAGCACATTCCCACTCACAGTGACCGGATAGGGCAGAGCAGCACTAACTCATGGGGTTTTCCAGGCTGAACTCTTTATGAGAACAGGCCTCCAGGTCTGAAGAGCTTTACACTCCGGAACTTCGCCTAGTCGACTTTGGGAGAAAGTTGGGAGTTGGGGCGGGTTGTCACGAACTGGCTTCGTGACACGAAGTGTCTTCATCCCACTCCGGATACCTCAATAACAACATATGTAAAATGAAGACAATAATGTAACCCACTTCAGTAGAGTTGCGTGAGAAAACAAAATGAGATAACGGAGGGGCCGTTGTTTCGTAAAAGGTAGCGTTAGTTATTTCTTCGAATAATCACAAAGAGCGCGTCAGACCACTCCTTCCCGTTATCAACAACAGCAGTGGCCGCAAACTCCCACGCCCACTAACGTGTAGTCTGCGAGAGCCTTCGCTAGCGTCGGCACCTGCTCTGGCGAAGAGCCTGGGCCCGAGCAACCGTGCCGGTCGCGGAACTATCCTGGAAACTTTCCTGCCCACGCTTACCTGGACCACCTTACTGAATTCCTCGTACACTCGTTTCTTCAGGTGCGCCGCCATGGTCGCTCGCCCGCGGGCCCTCGCGGCTTCCGTACTTCCCACGGGCGGCGCCTAGAGGATCCCGAGCGCTGGTCCCGGCGCGAGGAGCCGCCGCGATCCCACAAGCCAGTGGGGCACTGGGAAAGAGAGGCCGCTTCTCGCTGCTCTACTGCTCCGCAAAGGGGCGGTCGCTTCTGCCCGCCAGCGCCGCGTGCGCCCTGGAACGAGGTCGGCGGCGGAGCGCGAGGAGGCGGGGCCTCTGGCGGGCAGAGATGTGATTGAAAGGGAGGAAGAGCCAATGGGAACTTCCGGCGGCTTGGTGGTGGTCTGAGAGTGGCCGAGAGACTGGCAGGGAGCCGAGCAAACGGAGAGGGGACGTTTAAAGGGCAGAGGAGGGGCGATTCAGAGCTAGAAGCAAAACCTGGAGAAGTGTGAGGGATTTTAACTCGTGAACTAGAGAAAGGAGGCCGAGCCGACATTCCCATCATCCTATGATTTCCACTGTGTTTGCAGCTTGTCACTTCCCGGAACTCGAGTTTTTGCCGTGTGCCACCCATCTCATGGCCCAAAGCCCAAAACCAAACTGACTGCCATCGAGGCAATTCTGACTCATAGGCGACTCTGTAGGACAGGGTAGAACTGGCCCTGTTTCTGAGTGGAAAGCCACAGCTGGCTATTTTCTCTCTTTAGTTTTCTTTCTTTTTTTAAATCATTTTATTGGGGGTTCATACAACTCTTATCATAACCCATACATACATCAATTGTTTAAAGCACATTTGTACATTCGTTACCCTCATCATTCTCAAAACATTTGCTCTCCACTAAAGCATCTGATCCTCATTTTCCCCCTCCCTCCCCGCTCCCCCCTCCCTCACGAACCCTTGATAATTTATAAATTATTTTGTCATATC